ACTGCCTAAGATAAGTACATACAGAACATGATTGTAAAGAAATTGTGGCAGAAGCTGTATTGCCACTGCTGAGAGTGGTAAGATTGAAGTTCAGCTGACTGCCCAGAAAGAGTGTGCACAGCAGGCAAGAATTACACATAAAAGGCATGCCAGTGGTATTCTGAATGCTATTTTCTGACTTGTTAGGTAAATTGGTTGAAGGAGAGGATGAGACAGCGGTACTGGCTTGCTATTTCTTCTCTCTGGATGGGGAGTCATATGGAACAGAGTACAAATTAGATTTATGCTACATAGCCCCTCCCGGGGTACAGTAACTACCAACTCAAGAGAACAGTGGAATAATGAAGAGGGGGAAAATACAGTAGAAATAATAGTGAGGGAACTAGGCACAAAAGAGGTGGCATGTGATGCCATGGTCCCTGGCTAGTGAGGGCTGTGCTCACAGGAGGGGGCAGAAAGAAGCTCAACTCAGAAGGGACTTCAGGGTTGGTATGGGTCTTCTGTGGCTTCGAGAAGCTTCATTGCGGATCATGGTTATTTTTGAGGTAGGGGAGGGTCTAGGAGATTTGAGTGGCTTAACCCAGTATGTAAATTTGGTGCATAATGTACTAAATCATTCAAAAAGAGAGAAGAGAAGGCAAACAATGGGGCTGGCCTAGGTCACTTGACAGCAAATGTAGCAATATCTGTGTCAAGTCAGGTTTGTAGGAAAATAATTTATAGAATACCAAATGATGAGCTTCTGAGCTCTAGAATGCCTTGATACCTGCGTAACAGTTCACCAAAGGAGTAGGCAACAGGGAGATACCAGTAACTGTAGAAGATTTTTGTGAAGGAGGAACCACCTTAGCAGCTTCCCTCATGGGGTAGCCACAGTTGTCTGCAGGTGAGGATCATTCAGAGCAACCAGAGACATCTCCTGAATTGTAAATTACTTGGCCCCCTCTTAACATACAGCATACTTGGTTTGGAGTAGGTGCTGGAGCCAACTGTGTCTTGGTTTCTGGTGGCCCTCCAGGAGCATCAGGGACAAAGGGCATCAATGGATGGATATGAAAATTGAGCTTTGCTGGTAAATGGTTCGAGCTTCCCCAGGAGTGGACAAATGTACACAGTGTACATTCGTCTCTACTATGAGGCCAGAGATGATTCAACCAGCCAGGGGCTCTTTCCGCAGTTAGGTGTGGTCAGTGAAGAGGAAGTGTCCCATTATAGAGGTGGCCAAGAGTCTATCAGACACAAGGAACCAGGTAGAGCCATGCAGCAGGTGCAAGAGTGGAAAATATGGCTCTGATAGCTCTTAGCCCTAGGATGAACAGAGAAAAGTCACCTGGCTCCCCTGGGGCCATCCAGTGTGGGAATGTGCATGTCAACCCCATGGCAGTACCCAAGGATGAGAAGTCAGGGCAGATTACAGAGGACTGTGGATTGTAGAAATTTAAATACAGTAGTGCCTCCAATCCATACCACCATAGCTAATATTTTTCTTTTGTGGGGGCAACTGATACAAGGTTCATTCTTTTTAAATTCTAAAATAGTCTTTGCCTTTCAACATTGAGGGGAGGGGAAGAATAACTAGAGGGAACAGGATGGTCAAGATGGGGGAAGGACAGAGAAGGAGAACAAGGAAAGAGATATCTTGATTGAGGGAGCCATCATGGGGCTAGGAAGAAACCTAGCACTAGAGAAATTCCCAGGAATCCACAAGGATGACCCCAGCTAAGACCCTAAGCAATAGAGAAGAGGGTGCCTGAACTGGCCTAGCCCAGTAGTCAGACTGATAGCTCTCTTAAATGTCATCATAGAACATACATCCAGCAACTGATGGAAGCAGATGCAGAGAACCACAGCAGAGCATTGGACTGAGCTCCCAAAGTCCAGTCAAAGAGAGAAGTGAGAATATGAGCAGAGGTCAAGACCATGATGAGGACACCCACTGAAAGAGCTTACCTGAGCTAATAGAAGCCTTCCAACTCCAGTCTGACAGCGAGGGAATCAGCATAGGTGCAAACTAGGCCCTCTGAATGTGGGTGACAGTTGTATGGCTGAGGCAGACTGTGGGGCCACTGGCAGTGAGACCAGGATTTATCCTTACTGCTTATTCTGGGTTTTTTTAATCCATTCTCCCTGTACGGATACCTTGCTTAGCCTAGATATAGTGGGGAGGGCCTTGGTCCTGCCTCAAAAGCAATGTGCTAGCTAGACTTTGTTGACTTCCTATGAGAAGCCTTACCCTCTCTGAGGAGTGGATGGGGGGAAGGTGGAGGAAGAAGGAGGAGGGGAGGGAGTGGGAAATGGACTTGGTATGTAAAATGAGAAAAGATAGTTTTTAAAATAAAGTTAAAAATAATAAATAAATGAAAAACAATGGTTAAAGAGTTTGAGTGTAGGTATTCTGCATGGGTAGAAAAAGACATTCCCAGAAAACATGATTATTGTGGTGGTTTGAATGAGAAATGCCTCCCCCACTGGCTCAGGTATTTGAAGCTCAGGGTCGTGTTTGGAGAGGCCATGCTTGCAGCCTTGCTGGAGGAGGTACATCATGAGAGGTGGGGTTTGAGACTTCATAGCCTTGTCCTGCTCTCGGTTCACTCTCTCTGGCTCGTGTTCACAATTGAGGATGTGATCGCTCAGCTTCCTGCTTCTGCTACCACGTCTGCTGCTTGTTGCTTAGCTTTCCCACCAAAATGGACTCGTATCCCTCTAAAACCCTTTCTTCCTTAAGTTGCTTTGGGTCATAGTAGTTATCACAGCAGCCAGGCGGTGGTGGCGCACACCTTTAATCCCAGCACTCGGGAGGCAGAGGCAGGAGGATCTCTGTGAGTTCGAGGCCAGCCTGGACTACAAGAGCTAGTTCCAGGACAGGAACCAAAAGCTACAGAGAAACCCTGTCTCGAAAATCCAAAAAAAAAAAAAAAACAAAAAAAAAACGTAGTTATCACAGCAAAGGAAAAGCAACTAAAGCAAGTTATGGAACAGAAATCCCTATGCTAAATCCCCATAGGCTGATTTTCTAAGAGTTGTCTGAAGCACCCACCCCCTTCGATATAGGTTATTGCCACTGTTGCCAGCTCCATGCTTGAACTGCACAGTAAGACCCTATTGCTGAATACTCTACAGGCTCTGGTTGCAAGATACAGAGACTCAAGCTGGAACTAAACTAGAGACTTCCCTGCTGAAGCATTCCTAGTGCTGGAAGACACCATACAGGTAGCTGAAGGAACTGTCTCTGACATTCCTGCTTGGGTTCGCCATGCTGCAAACACGCTCCCGAAAGCTGCGCTTTACTGGGACAACAGTGGAAAAACTGTTATGGGCACAACCAAATGCTTCACAGGAAGGAATCCACATTTGGTACCATAACGCAAAAACTTGTGATAGAGAAGGTCATGGGCCTAGTGGGAAAGATACTACTGTGGTTAAACGAATAGATTCCTGCCAAACCACTTTCTCAACGTTTAGGTTTATACCCATATGTCATTGCTATTTTGGGTCTTAACCAGAGAAACTTTCTTTTTATAGTAGGTAGTGGTTCCTGCAGAGATGGAATTGATCAGGCTGCTGAGAATAAAGAGACAGTTACTGTATGGGCATGGGGGCCTAATACCCATCCGCAAATGGAATAAAATATATATATATATATATATATATATTTTATATATATAAATATATTTATAATAAATATATAAATTTATAAATATATAAATATATATATAGATATATATATTTTATATATATATATATATATATATCCTCCTCTGAGGCTCGAGAAACACAACAGTACAGGAAGTGGAAAGAATATACGAGATGGAATAAGGGGCGAGATATTGTGGAACACTATCCTCTCAACCTAGCCATTACCACAATAATCAGAAAGACTATGGCAACCCGAATGAGACAGTCAAATTATCAGACCTGTTAACCTTCCCTCATCAAAGGAAGGTGGGGAGGATCATTAAACCTTTACCTGAGATTCCAGCCACTCAGTTCTCCCTGCATCCCCCATCCCAGGTATATGTAATTTTGCATCACATAATCTAGGAGATTAACTGGAGTGGAGATTCCATCTATGCAGCTTTTGGGACTTTCCTGTGATACAGCTGTTTTAGGTCATTAACTCTCCTAAAAGTAACCTTTAACCCATGTCCCTGTAAGTAGGCCCAAGGAATTTATCAGTTCACCAAGTTAGACTCAGATATACTGTTTCTTTGGTCTGCCATTTGGGGGTAAACAGACATTTATTCACATCTCCCCAGGAAAACATCACAAGACAAGAGTGTGGAATGAATTCATATTTCAATGAAAGGGGTATCATTTTCTGATGTACATGGGTAAAGGAATGGTAATATTGAGGGAACTCTGTTAGAGGGAACATACAAAATTCAACAAGGCAAATTCATGTACCCCTTCATGTGACAAATATTTATTACTACTTGGTATGCGGCCATCACTGCTTGAAGCACTAAGGGATTTGTCAATGAACAAAACAGTTGAAAAAATCCCCGCCCATAGAAAGCAGAATGAAGCCGACAATTCACAAATTAGATACAGATAAGTAATGGCAGATGGCAAATAGCACTACGAAGGAGGTCTCCTTTCAACCTCACATGGCTGTTAGCAGCTGTAGAACTCATTGGCAGCATGCTTCTGTAAGGCCAAGAAAAGAGAAGAAGCTGTCTGTTCTCTAAACTCCCTTGTTTGTTCGGTATATAAACCCAGTACCTAGTGTCGGGTCCCATAAAGACAATTTCAAGTATCCGACTCCCTTTTAAAAGAAGTATCATTCATTCACTTCACCGGGTCAGGCTCACTCCAGATAATTTCCCAGTGGAAATTAACTCTATGTTAACTAACTGTATCTAAAAGTATTTCTTGAGTGTTCTTTTGTCCATGCCTGTTTCCTGATGAGGCAGTCAGGAGGTGGGGGTGGGCTGGGCCATGTCATTTGTCCCAGCTAATTCAAAACGGTGCTCATGGCAACAGCTTGAAAGCAGTGGTTGGAAGAAGTTCCCTTCACGTTGGAATCCCACCAGTGAGGGTCTTGTGACAGGTCATGACTAACCATGAAGAATCTGCTGAATAGATGGAAGAAGCGTTTTGGTCAATTGTTCAACACACTAACTACCTCAGCATGGAGTTCTCCATGTCAAGTCAGAGGACCAGATGCTGAAGGTGCTGAACTGTTTCTTTCTTTCTTTCTTTATTTATTTATTAAAGATTTCTGCCTCCTCCCCGCCACCGCCTTCCATTTCCCTCCCCCTCCCCCAATCAAGTCCCCCTCCCTCATCAGCCCAAAGAGCAATCAGGGTTCCCTGTCCTGTGGGAAGTCACCTCCATCCAGGTCTAGTAAGGTGAGCATCCAAACTGCCTAGGCTCCCACAAAGCCAGTACGTGCAGTAGGATCAAAACCCATTGCCATTGTTCTTGAGTTCTCAGCAGTCCTCATTATCCACTATGTTCAGCAAGTCCGGTTTTATCCCATGCTTTTTCAGACCCGGGCCAGCTGGCCTTGGTGGGTTCCCGATAGAACATCCCCATTGTCTCAGTGTGTGGGTGCACCCCTTGTGGTCCTGAGTTCCTTGCTCGTGCTCTCTCTCCTTCTGCTCCTGATTTGGACCTTGAGATTTCAGTCCGGTGCTGAGCTGTTTCTTAAATTAATTTAGAATTTCATACACGCATATAATGAGTTTGAATCGAGTACACTACCATTCCCCCCCCCCCCTCTATTCCTCCGTTGTGTTTTAGGTGAATTTGATACAAGCTAAAGTCATTGAGGAGGATGAACCCTCAAGTGAGAAAATGTCCCCACCAGATTGGCCTATGGGCTAGCGCCAGGGTATTTTCTCCACTCTTGATTGATGTGGGAGGACTACACTCACTATGGGATGTGGCACTCCTTGACTGGTCTTCTTCATGCTGTAAGAAATCAGACTGAGCAAGCCATGAGAAGGAAGCCAGTCATTAGTGTACCTTCAAGGCCTCTGTTCAGTTCCTGCTTCCAGGTTCCTGTATTCACTTTCTTGGATGATGTAAAATGAACCCTCCCCGACCCAAGTTGCTTTTGGTCAGGTGTTTAAGCAATAGGAACCCTAAGACATGCCTCCATCCCCGTCACCACTATTCCCTCCCAAATTCATGTGCTCTTTTCTTTAAGAAGGAGACCTTACATGGCTGGGCTGTGGTGGCACACACCTTTAATCCCAGTACTCAGGAGGTAGAGGCAGGAAGAGCTCTGTGAGTGCAAGGCCAGCCTGGTCTACAGAGTGAGTTCCAGGACAGCCAGGGCTACACAGAGAAACCCTGTCTTGAAAAACAAACAAGAGACCATGAAGTTCACTTAGTGATTCTAATATCTACATGAGTGCAGGACCATCCAGTGGAGCATGAACGGCCCCTCTTCAACAAAAGCCTCATGGCACATCTCAGTCCTAGTGAGATGATAGAATATTGTCTTCATTTACCCACCTATAATGATACCAGTTGATCTTTCCAGCTACCCTTGGGTCCAGCACTGTCTTCCTTCAGGCTGTGAAGTCTGTGACTGCCCTGGCTGGTTTGCACATTTTTCACAGGCTTAAGAATCACTTGAGAGTTTAATTTTTTTTTCTAGTGCCAATCTCCAGAGTTTCTTATTCTGCGTGTGGAGGTGACTCCCAAGAAGAAGCCTGTCTCACACTCTGGCACATTTTGAGAATCATAGGTGTAAATCATTCCTTTGGTCACCCATCCATCAAGCGCTTACTCCTGCTCTTATCTGGGAATCTAGACAAAACTGTGATGGGCTTAAGAGATGGCCAGCAATTAAATACATTTGCTGCTTTTCCAGAGGACCCAAGTTTAGTTTCCAGCACCCACATTGGGCAGCTCACAACTACCTGTAAATTCGGCTCCAGAAAAATCTGATGCCCTCTTCTGGCCACCACAGGTATGTGCACATGCACACAAAGACACCTACACATAAAAATAAGTAAGTAAATCATTAGAAGCATGCTAACTTGGCTTCTGTCCCCACTGAGCCAGCTGCCTATGGGAAATCATGAAGCCAGCAGCCAAGCAAACTTGCTGTCTTTAGTGTCATCAGGATTGTTGTGGGACAAACACCAGGGACCAGGGAGAGCAGAAGAAGCTCCTACCCTGCAAGGCAGAAAGACTTTCTAGACTATCACCCACGTGAATTTAATGACATGATAAACACCTCTAACATGTTGTTAATAAGGAAAAGAACATGATTAACAGGTATATGTCATGTGGGTCACACAGACACAAGTATATCCCTTGTGCTATATGTGTGTGACATGTATAGAGGGCCAAGTCCAGGGAATTCTACCAAAATATTACTAACAGTTCTCTCTATATGCTAAAAATATTCTTAGCTTTGAAGAATATCTTTACTTTGCTATATTATTAATCTCCTCACAACGTGGTGGGATATGCACTGGTCCCATTTTTACTGCAGGGAAAAGGACTGTGCAGGGCACAGATGCAAAGGGGTAAACATCACACGGCCTATGTTAGAATTCTGTCTACCACACACTCCAAGAGCAGATGTCAATAAAGCAGGCAGACATATATGAGTCTGGAGTTCAGAACGAAGGTCTGGATGGGGTATGCATGTTAAGATAGCATCAACATGCAGATGGTACTTAAAGCTATGAGATTCGATGAGGCCTTCAAAGGAAGAATACTGATATAGAAAAGAGTTCCGGGTGCTGAGCCCTGGAGAATGCCAATGTATAAAATTTGAACAGCTGAAGTGAAAACAAACCCTGTGATCAAGAGGGGCCATAGTCGGTGCACATCTTTAAATCCCTGGACCCAGGAGGCAGAGGCAGGCAGGTCTCTGTGAGTTTGAGACCACTCCACAGACAGTGAGATACTTCCAAGTCACGGGAGAGGATGATGAAAGTAGCCCTTACAAAAGCAGTTAGGTGCGGTGCTTGCAATAATAGCCTCCAAAGATCGTGTTGAAGAGAAAAAGGAAAAGAGAAAAAAATTGGAGTTGTCAAATATACACAGGTATTTCAAGGAATTTGGTTATAGAGAGGAGTCAGGAAATAAGTGCAATTAGTTAAAGAGGGGAGTTAGATCAAAAGGCTAATTTTTTTGCGATGGAAGAAATAACATGTTTATACGCTAATGGAAATTGTCCAGTAAGAGGGAATTTTTTTAATTAATTTATTTATTTATTAGAGATTTCTGCCTCCTCCCCGCAACCGCCTCCCATTTCCCTCCCTCCCCAACCAAGTCCCCCTCCCTCGTCAGCCCAAAGAGCAATCAGGGTTCCCTGCCCTGTGGGAAGTCCAAGGACCATTCACCTCCATCCAGGTCTAGTAAGGTGAGCATCCAAACTGCCTAGGCTCCCACAAAGCCAGTACGTGCAGTAGGATCAAAACCCATTGCCATTGTTATTGACTTCTCAGTAGTCCTCATTGTCCGCTATGTTCAGCTAGTCCGGTTTTATCCCATGCTTTTCCAGACCCAGGCCAGCTGGCCTTGGTGGGTTCCCGATAGAACATCCCCATTGTCTAAGTGTGTGGGTGCACCCCTCGCGGTCCTGAGTTCCTTGCTCGTGCTCCGTCTCCTTCTGCTCCTGATTTGGACCTTGAGATTTCTGTCCGGTGCTCCCATGTGGGTCTCTGTCTCTGTCTCCTTTCATCGCCTGATGAAGGTTAATATTCAGGAGGATGCCTATATGTTTTTCTTTGGGTTCTCCTTCTTATTTAGCTTCTCTAGGATCACTAATTATAGGCTCAATGTCCTTTATTTATGGCTAGAAACCAATTATGAGCGAGTACATCCCATGTTCCTCTTTTTGGGTCTGGGATACCTCACTCAGGATAGTGTTTTCTATTTCCATCCATTTGCATGCAAAATTCGTGAAGTCATTGTTTTTTACCACTGAGTAGTACTCTAATATGTATATATTCCACACTTTCTTCATCCATTCTTCCATTGAAGGGCATCTAGGTTGTTTCCAGGTTCTAGCTATTACAAACAATGCTGCTATGAACATAGTTGAGCATATACTTTTGTTGTATGATAGGGCCTCTCTTGGGTAAAGAGGGAAATTTTTAAATTGTGTGTTGGTGACAAGGGTAGTGGGGAGCTGGAGCAATGATACTGGGTGGGAGGAACGAATAGGATACAGAATACAAGTGCAAGGGCTGTACAGGCAAGATATAGATGGAAACGTGATAGAGGGCAGAGTATGGGCAGTAGAGGGCAAAGATGCAGGCAGGTGGGTAAATGTGATCTGAAAGCCTGCAAAACTTGTGTCCTTAGACACTCTCTTTCAGAGCCTACTGTATTGTCTCCTGTATTCTTCCATACTGCCCAGAGTGTCGGTATGGGTTTCCTTCAGGTGTTTCCCAAAGTATGCTCCTAAAATGCTTTTACCACTGTAGAAAAGATTCTAGTACTTCGTGTTTATTTTATTACCTACCATGAGGAAACATATCCAGTACACCTAGCCAGGGTTTTCGGATATAGTCCAAATGTAAATTGTAAATGAATTAAAAGAAAAATTTTAACCAAATTACAAGGGATACTGTAAAGCTTTTAGATTATTTACAAGTGACCTTTGAGCAAAACTGATTAAGGCATTGATTCTGCTGGAGGCCCTCTAAGAGCAGGCATATCTAAGCTAATACATTTAGCTGGCTTTACTCCTGAAATTCTGCTGTCAGTCAGGCCCAGGTATCTCAGGACTGGAAGAAGTTCCCTCTCCTGGGTTATGCTGGTCTCTGTTTAGAGATGGAGAACTCACTACCACTGAAGACAGAGAGAGATCCTTTTATCCTGACAAGCCTCTAAATAAACTATAGATAACGAATCAGTGTTTTAAGCCACAGAATTTGTGATAATTTCTTAAAGCAGCAATGAAAAATTACTAGAGAAACAACAGCAGCTTTGAGCATAAGGCTGGAGAAGACCCTGGGAAAGTCCTCGACTTCTCTCTGGTCTCTGGATTCCTGGAACACAGGAGTGGACGAGATCTAAAGCTATAAGCTACTTTCTATACTATTCCTATGGATCTTAGCATGTGTTGTCTGTCTTGACATTAATTATCCTCCCA